AGAGAGAGAGAGAGAGAGAGAGAGAGAGAGAGAGAGAGAGAGAGAGAGAGAGAGAGAGAGAGAGAGAGAGAGAGAGAGAGAGAGAGAGTCAATATGTTCACGGACACATCGAGGTTTGCGAAACCTGTCCTCGCCTCTGCCCTCCCCTTGGCCCTGACACTCCCTTCACTTTCCCCTGCCCCTTCGCCCCCCTATGCTTCTCCCTTCACTTTCCCCTCCCCCTTTCGGCTCCCACTCCCCTCCGCCCTCGCCCCCCTTTTCCCTCGTTCTCTCCTCCCCCTAACCTTTCCCCTCTACCTCCCTCCCACTTTTCCTGCCCCTTCCTCCCCCCAACACTAGCTTCTACCCACTCAGAGGGTGATAAGATGGGGGTCAGAGAGGGCATAGGGGAACCGGGAACGGCTTTGCCAGATGAATGAGGCGTACAAAAAGTGTGTGCAGAGATGAGGAGGCAGCACATAATATCTCCAGGAGACGCAGGCCCTGCTGTGACATGAGTGGGTAAAATATGGTGCGCAGGAGTTTAGCTGTTAGGAAGTCAGAGGGCAGAAGCTAGTCTCTTCATGTTGCACAGCAGCCACCCTGCGTGGAACCTCTATTCTGAAGTCTTGACTTGGACGCCATATACCTCCAGTCTCTGCGCTCATTCAGCGCTGCTCGGTACGGTCTACAAGTAGAAGGCCTCTGAGTCCCTGCATGCTCTTGGCTATTGCAGTGGTATCCAGCACTCTTCCAAGTGGTGGTGACGATGAATACTTTCCCATCAATGATTAGCTGGTACACAGAGCCGAGTGCCAACCAGTGTCTTGCATGGTTCAACTACATGTGTAAGTTGCACGGTGAATGACATCGGCTTTCGCAAACTTGCAAGGCATCTTTTTCTCCTGGGGCATGAAGTCAGTTCATCCAGGATATCCTCACCTTCTGCGGCCTCAGCTTCGCAGAGCGACGACTCCTCTTCAGTCAATTTCAGGTCCAAAGAGAGACCTTTGAGCCTCTTTCAGGTTAAAAATGAGTGCTTTGGTTCAATTTCAGGTCCAAAGAGAGACCTTTGAGCCTCTTTCAGGTTCAAAATGAGGCTTTTGGATGAATTTGAGGTTCAAAGAGAGACCTTTGAGCTTCTTTCAGGTTCAAAATGAGGCCTTTGGGTCAATTTGAGGTTCAAAATGAGATCTTTTAGCCAACTTCAGGTTCTGGTAAGGCTGCCTTGCACTGCAAGATGAGGGGTTCACCTTGCATAATTGTTGACTTTAAGCATCTCCAAGAAATTCCTTAGCGACCTTGCAAAAGGGTTTTTCCTTCCGCAAACGCTGACTTTACTGGCAATGAGGACGGCCTTCCGTGGTATTGAACGAGGGGCATACCTAATTCTGTGCGTGTCAAGTCGATATTATCCCTAAAAGACTGCCTGCTGTGAAGCCTCCTCTGTAACTCATGTCAACTCCATTTCGTGCTTCGGCAAGTGAAACTCAGCAGTCGAGGGAGCCAAAACTCGAGATCCTCAGGCTTTCAGAAGTGGATTGGGCGCGATTTTCCGGAATTGGATATTGTTTCAGACTGCCGATCCAATGCAATCAGCATTGTGACTATGATAACCACCCAACTCGCTGATGGAGTGAACCAGGATGTACGAGCACCAGGAAGCCATACCAAAGGTATGGGGGGCAGCAATCTGCAGCCGAAAGGACAGGAGCATGTTTAAAGTTTAAACAAACGGCAGGCAATGAGTTGAGGACATGTAAGTGCGTATCCTTTGGGACATCTGTTAATACTGGAGTGATACAAAGAAGGTTAGCGTCCCAAATCTAAAATTCTCCACACATTTGAGTCGATGATTTGACCTAAAAAACTAGATGAAAAAAGGCATGTAACTTGATGTAAGCGCATAGACCAAAGAGGGAAAAAGAAAAGCTGCATAGGCCAAAAACAATGAACTGTTACATTATCAGGAGTCCCTGCCAGGTCCTGGCTAACGACAACTTGGCAGAAAACTACCTCGGACGAAGTCCAAGTAACACTGACTGATAGCATGAGTGATACCAAAGCAAGCAAGTGCAGACACAGTTAATCACAATAGATGCATACTACCAATCAATCCAGACAAGCCATGATACCCATGAGAAAGAGGCGACAAAGCCAGACGAAGAAGAAGAAGTAGAAGATTGATTGGTAACACTGGCCATGACATTTTCATGAATATGAAATAACCCCCCCCACACCCTCCCTCCCCCCCCTCTCCTGCACTGCACGACTCTGTTCTCGGAGAGACTGAAAAGGTTGGCCAATGGCAGATACCTGTGGTGGTACCCAACTGCCAAAAAAAGGACCAAATCGAACCCAGATGGAACCCAAAGGGTACCAAGAAGCCCTTCAGGTTTTAGTCATATCCACTTTTCAAAAGTCGTACATGTTTCGTGCACTACCATTGTCACCCGAATAGAACGCCCAGTTGTTATCACTGCATATGACTGAAACCTGCCCCCGAATACAGCTATAATGACCGGGCGTTCTATTGGGGTGAAGACGATAGTGGCACTAAGTGATTCATTCATCGGGATCAGCAATCCTTTGAGAGTAGTCACTCTGCCCTTGCAGCGCTCATTCAGCAGAATGAAGATTTGCTGGGATAATTATTGCTTAGCAAAATTTCCCAGAATGCCATACCCGATGGTGCATGGAGATGGAGTAGTCTCCTCTCCTATCTGCCCTTTTTGTATCTGCCCTGTTCCGAGCCTTTGCGACCTTCAGGTGAGAACCTCATGCTGCTTCATCCCCCTTTCGTTTGTGCCTACATCGATGGTGGTTGTTGTGTGTGGTGTGCTGCAGAAGATTCTGACGATCTTCTCAAACCAGGTTGATTTACGATCCTGTGCGTTGTTCCTAAGGCCCTTCGGCAAAGTGTCCATAGGTAGGTTCACCCCCAGTTAAGCTGTCCGCAATTGCGGACCTATCTCCTGTTGCTCTGTCTGGAGCTCTTGAAGGACTGTGGCAGTACAGGATTGGTTGTTATTTACCCTTACGAGACCCCACCCACGCACCCCCACTCCCGACTTCCTACCTGTGTCTACCACTCAGGACCGTCACCCTTCTACAATTTTGGCTAGATGACCTGACCGGGCAGTAGTTGCAGGCACCAGTGCTGAGCAGGAAACCTACCCACACACGTAGACTAAGAAGTTAGAACAGACAAAATAGTAAAATACTCACACGCCTGCTTGAATTTCCTGAAATCAAAAGCAAACCAAACTGGACTGATAACAGGCAAATATTCATGCCTGGACTCAGAACAGACAAAATACTCCTGCACCTGCCTGACATCAAAAGCAAGGGCCGTCTCTACAATGCCTGGTCCTTAGGCCCGTGTAGAAGGCTCTCGACATGCTACACCCACACTTCATCCCTTTTCTATTTCCTCCTGCCCAGCTACTCCTTTTGCACCTTCAACAGGAACGTGCAAGGTCCATGAAGCATATGCTGAGAAGCTCAGTTGCTGTTTTCTTGCTTGCAGCTCATTATCTGGGTAGCGTTTCCTCTCTTTGTGTTGGCATGGAGTTTCCTCTGTGATTCTCCTGGAATTGGAGTTGCTGCTGTTGAGTGTTAATTGCTCTGGCTTCTCCATTCCATTCGACAGCTGTCAATAGGCCGGTATCATCCATTGCTATTGCTGTTGCATGCGCTTGACTATCAGTCGGTCCATGGGTGGTGACCAGTGGGATGGCAGTTCTTGGGTAGGGCTGGTTGTACATCCTTCTCTTTTTGCAAGGCCAGCCTGGCTTGTTCTTTGGGGGGGGGGTGTTTAATGATGACAACAAGCCACTCAAAATCACCTGTGTGTGTGTGTGTGTGTGTGTGTGTGTGTGTGTGTGTGTGTGTGTGTGTGTGTGATTACCGTAACCCATAGTGTGACCCGCTAAGAAAACCCCACAGCAAGCTGCGATACGACCATCCTGGTGATAAGTGACGTCCGTGTATACAGCCTATAGCAGAACCCACTATGTTGGCCCACATCCTTTTCAGTGGTCCAGTTCCAGGCATAGCCACGCTCCCTTACTCTTTATCCCATTAACTATGCAGGTGAAATATGCTATTTTAGACATTAACATAGGCTGGCAGCAATACTCCCAAGGATAGACATTAACATGGGCTTCAAGACTATTCCCAAATGTGTATGCAGACATAAAGAACAGAAACAGGCAAGGGCAAAAGACAGTAAGGCTAAAGAGAGTGAGGAGACGGGCAGGGAGGCAACAAGGCATTGTACTACAAGCAGCAACCTGTCTTGACATCGTGTGTGTGCAGGAGATTCGCTTAATGGACACCGCCGACCATCGAAGGGCCCACTGGTCATTCTGGCCACACCCCTTACTGCGTACGCCACGAGACCTCGCAGTGTGGGGGTGGTAATCTGGCTCCCCCCAACCTCACGGGCCACCGTCATCCATTGGGCCGCCGACCCCACAGAGGGCAAATGGGTCTCTTCTGGCAATGCTTGAGCTGGAACTTGTCTGGATCGTCTGTGTATAAGCACCCAATATTGTGAGCGACGGGCAGGCCTTCTTCGAATCCTTGCAGCAGCAGATCCCCAGTAGCATCTGGCTGATCTGAGCGGGTGACTTCAATGCCGCCCCCGATGGTTGGCTGGGCAAGTGGAGGCTCCGTCACCCTTCCCTCCATACATTGAAGAGGTTTATACAAAACGCTAATTGAGGACCTATGTTCCTCACTTGACCTATACGATGCACACCGAAGATGCTTCCCTAGGGAGAGGGGATACACGTGCCTCCAGAACACTGCTTTGGAAGCCTGTTCCAGGTCCAGGATCAACCTGATGCTCATGTCTACAGATCTGGAGGGGCCGCTTCACTTTGCGCCCCTCTTCCCCGAAGTCCGTACGCAGGGTTTGACCATGCAATCTGCAGGGCGGTCCTATCTTTCCAGAAGCGCCCAGACCGGGGCCCCATTTTTTAAAGCTAAACGTTATGCACTTCGTCACCTCCACCAGTTGATTGTCACAGTTTGGCACTTCTGGAGTGAGCAAAAACAGCATTTTGACTCTCCCATTACCTGGTTTAAAAATGGCCTGTGTTACTTAGGCCTGGAATGTAAGAGTACTCATCAGCTAACACCGCCAAACAATACGAAGAAGAAATGGACACGCGTTATGCCCTGTAGAACCAGGAACAGCAAGACAACCAACAACAGTCTCACAGACCAAAAGAAAAGTACGAACTTTCGCACACTACAGATGGCAAGGCACAAGGATTAGAGGTAAACTCTCACGTCACCTTATAGAGGGGTCTATGGATTCCGACTTTTCAGCCTAGCGCGGGCTCATGCACGAAGACAGTGTATCGATGCCCTCCAAAACCCGGCGGACCCAGAATTGCCTCTAGCCACCTCCACTGTTACATCTTCGACGCCACACGGGTCCTACCGGACCCAACATAGGGTTAGAGGGACACAGTAGGGCCTAAAGGCCCGACCTTGGGGGTACTACAGGCCGTAAAGGCCTTACCTTGGACCAGACCCGACGGGCAGGCCCAAACGACATTACTGTTTGGGCCTGGCGCCGCTCTTGAGGCTGCCGCCCGCCGGTTGGGGCTGAACCGTCCATCTTGACGGTTCAGGGCACGGCCAGGCCTTGCAGCATTGAGGCCGGCCTCTGCCCCACCGGTACAAAAGTACCGGTCCAGCCTCATTGAGGCTATCGACCCACCGGCACGCTACGGTGCGGTATGGTATGGTGCGAATCAGCGCTGGCGCTAAGTTTAGCGCAGGAGCAGCGAGGAGCAGCGCAGCGCAGCATTAGCGCAGCAGCAGCGAGTGGAACAGCAGCAGCGGCGACTGGGCGTTATCGGCGGCCATAGCCGCCTGAGGTATCGGGAGTCGGAGG